AACTTATGTTGTCAATTATTGATAATTACTGATTTCAGTCAACAGATTCTTCTTATTTATTTTCCATATGTACATACTAAATGTATGGGTATACAAAGGAAACGTTGTCAATCAAAATTTATCTTATCGTTTTAAAAATAGGTTTCTCAAAGTGCAATTCAACTATACCAACGCTTGATATACACTATAAACATACATATGGTGTATACCATCATACCACAGTGTATACCATAGACTTATTAGAGTACAGCTTTCAACTTCTTTCATGCAATTTTTTATGGTTGTAATCAGCTAAAAAGCTCTTCTCAAACTGATAAATTCGGGTCGGGCGACTACGTTGCTCGGTGCAACACATTTGTAAACTTTCTTATTAAAAAAATCTTGAAAAATGGGGTATATCAGCTTTTCAGATTTCAAACTAAACATAGGAAAAAGTAAAACTTCAGCTGCTCGTAGAAGGTATCTTTTATGCACATTTTTCAAATTCTTAATTTCGATAACTTTATACTCTAATAATAATAATAATAATAATAATAATAGATCATTTTGAAACTTTATTTAATATAGTTCCTAAAAATTTGTAAAGATATAAAATTGAATTGACAATTCATTTCCAATAGCACAATTTTTATTTGGATTCGTTGAGGTGTCGCTAGAAGGTACACGTGTTATACCTAACTACTTAAGATAATTATTTAGACTTTTATAAAATGTGCCTCAATATTTCATTCTTTTGTAACTAACACTTTTACCAAGTTTAACTTCATTTTGTATTCAGTTAAATTCTCTCAGTTTAAGCTCATTAATTTATTTTAACATCAATTTAAGCTACTGTGACTGTAAGTCGAAAAATCTGATTAAATTAGTTTTTAAAAGCAAAATGGAAACTAACCGCTTGTAATGGAAAATGAAACCCACAAAGACGAGGAAAATCCTGTTAGATTAAATAAAAAATAAAACCTTAAAAATGTCAAAGGCGTTGGTAGAGCAAAGGAAACCTTAAACCAACTTTAACATAGAAGGCCGAATATTGAAAAAAAATTAAGTAAGTCAGGACACTTCAGTGCCAAGTGTAAACCAATGTGAGAATAAAAAAAAAAAATTGGAAAAAACATTAAAAAAAACTTAAAGAAATTTTCAAGTCCAAATCCTTGTGTAATCCTTTAACTTAAATTGTATTTAAATTAACTAAAGGTTGAAAAGGTTACGATTTCCATTTAAGCGATTTACCAATTAGGTTATAACAGCATGTAATTCTAAATGTTTTAAATTAATTTATAATGCGAATCAAATTTTAGAGAACTATTTATAAAATAGTAAAATATAATGAGTTGAAAGATTCATTACTTCGATACAGCCTGTAGGATAGCAAAAAAAATATTATAATATTTAAAAGTAGTGAAAAGAAATAAACTCTAACTATAGCGTAAATTTAATATTATTAAAAAAAATTATTTATACATACAAAACTTTTGCAAGCTCGATTAGTTGTCTCTTTAAAAACAACCTCTTTCAACTTGGGTGGTGCCTACATCTTAGATCCAATCGAGTATTATTCAACGATCCTTTTGAAGCGTACCTTTTTATTAGGACGCGCAACATTTAGAAGTTTTCCTTAAAACTGTCTGAAACTTAAATAGTAAAGCAAACCTTAAAAACTATAAATTCAAGCCGAGTTTCAGTCAAATCAGTCGCATATATCAGATAAGAAATAAATGAATTATAATTGCTGAGTCTTTAGGCGCCTATGGACAAATTTATGGACAATGATGGCTATAGTATATATATTTGCAGTTTATTGACAATAGAAGCTACAACTGTTGATATCCACAATTGATTTAGGCAAATTGAATACGCTTTTAGGTACTACTTCAAATGTTGTTTTAATTGTTAATTTATTATAGAGTAGGGGTCTGTGAATGTACAGAAACATCAAATCTTTTTCGAAAAATGAAAGTTTGTAATTTAAAGCTGTATATTAAGGTAACAAAAATGATTAGTTTTATATTTTTGATATATTTTATGCTATTATGATCTATATGGCAATGTTTCAAAGTTGATTTATTATTTAATATCGAAGTCTCTCAAATTTTGTACTGTTTGAACAAATGATCCGATCCTTTGGGCAGAATATCTAGATCGTCTGACTGCATTAATACTTAGAAATGTCGAATATATTATTTGCGAATTTATTGACTGACACTGAAAGCATGATGAAACTCCTAAAATTTCTTTAGGTCACCATCAAAAAAGGTTTTTAATTAGACTGCTGTTTATTGATTCTTACACTTGCAGAATGCAAGAAATAACAAAGAAATATTTTATAGTTTATTAATAACCTTAATATGTCCGAATTAGCCGGTTCCCTAACTTCCTAACAAGGAAATTAGAAATTCTCTCCAAAGATGACATGGTACATCTATAAGTATCGTTCCCCCTTCTAATTATAATTATAATCAATAGTTTTAATTTGTATCTACGTTAGAATAAAGGACTTGTTCTTGGAATAATGCAATGGGTCAAAAATCACTACACCCCAGTGCATTTCCAATTTTTGCTGACCGTATGTATCAGTTTTAAATATAAGTTGAAAATATAGAACCTATCATAACTCGGAGAAATCAAGACCTTCAAACTTTTTCAATCCTACAGTTCGTGAATTTACTGAAGTAACAGTGGCGTATTCTGACA